AAATGCCAACAGCAACCATACGCTGCCAAGACTGTCGATGGCTCCCTCTTCCGAGGGTTGCTTCCAAGAAAATTGATGAAAAGTTTGACTCTCTGACAAATGCCGGTACCAATTTACCATCGAGACGAATGAACGAATCGTAAAGAGACTGGTTGCCCAACTGGCGAAGTCAAACCTTTGATTGTTTTGTCGGCTAGTATGACAACAGTACTATCCTATTACGCCATGCTCACTGGGACCAAAATAACCATTATATCTATTTTAAAATATCTGATAAGCATTCCTCCTAATCTTTGATCGAGAATGTGACTTACAAGCAGTGAAAATTGATTTGCAGTGAACGTTCGTGAAAAATAACGGCATCGATGAGGATGTCCTTCTGGGTTACACGAACAACATGCAAATCCGTGGACTGCTTATATTCGCCATACTTCAGCGAATCTGTAACTTTGATGCTAAATACACAGATTCCGCCGTTCAGATGAATTAAAAACGAGTAAAAATCAATGAAGCGCAGAAAATCCAATTGAAAATAGATCGACTAAAAAAAAAAAATGTTAAATTTTCGCTACAAACAGGAATGCACATTTAGAAATCCTGGAGAAATCAGTGCGATTTTTCGGTTCGTCCTTTTCGCCATCAAAGAAAATCTTGCCTCAATAACTTTCCGGCTGGTTCGTTTTATTAACGTAAAAACCCTTTTAACTGGGTAAAAGTTGATAGGAAAGCATTTTAAAATGGAAGGAAGACAAAAAAAAATGTTAAGAAACTAGTAAAAGCTGTAAAATATCATCATTTATTCCGACTTTTAACTCATCATCATCCCGACTTTCCGGCCCGTCTATTTCCTGCCTCAATATCACTCCAGCTTTCTGGCTTCTTTATTTTGTTCACAAAGATTCCCTCCAAATTCAGTTGTTTGCTTCAACAAAAATACTCCTAACTTTTTGCCGTCCCACTTTTCCGGATTGTTTAGATGATAAACAGAAAGTCTCTGTTTCCCGGTTTACCTATCCCATCAAACCAAAATCTCCTCCTGTCCCATCATTCACTTCGGTTTTCTAGCTTTTCTGCTTCATCACCCGCCTCATTTTCCTTTGGGTTTTCCGTTCGTCTACTTCAATTAACAAAGAGAATTTTTAGCCTCATTTAAAATTCGATTGGTTTAATCAAGAATGCACTTCTAATGCCCCATTCCACGCGTACTTTGTTTCATCACATCAAGCATTTACGTCAAATCCGGTTTTAACCTTTGAGAGGCGATTGGGAAGCATTCTTTGCCAAATTATGCAAAAGCACGATCGGCTTAGAAAAATAGCGTCCCCTCAGCAAAAAAAAA